AGGGGGCAGGGATGGGGGGGGTGCGGGAAGAGACTGGACAAAAATCGAATACCTATGGATGAGGACAGTCGGGGGGTAAGGGTGGAGGGTGGGGTGGGAACCTGGTGGAGGGGAGCTATGGGGGGAAAAAAGAGGAACAACTGTAATAATCTGAACAATAAAGATTTAATTTAACAAAAAATGAAGATACTGATAAGCATAATTATATTTTTAAAAGTATTTTCATTTTTCAAATTATGACAGTAATTATAATTTTACTAGAATAATGTATGTTAAAATGTCAACCTTAAAATAAAATAAAATAAAATAAAATGAAGAAGCAGCCAATGAAACAAATAAAAAAGAGCTTTCATTTATGAAACTTCAGTAAGTGTTAGGAAGAGGATGGAACTGAGAGGAGAATTGAATTTCATTTCTTCCCCACCACTCCTGCATCACATCCTGAATGGATCATTGACACAACCTGGTCTCATTTCCCTCATATCTATAATAGGTTAGACAACTTTAAGATTCTTTTCCAATTCTAATCTTCTGTATTTCCAGACTAATAGATGAATATTTTCAAATTTATATACTCAAAGTTTCAAATTTATATACCCCAAAAGCACCTAACATGTTGTGGACACTCCATACAGAATTATGTGCTTAATGAAAAGTGACATTGACACAAAGCTAGGTGACTAGCCCAGTGAGAGCTGGCATGTAAAGGCTCAAGGGCTCCAACTCCAAGGTTAGTGATAAATTTAGTCTGAATTTCAAGATTAAAATATTAAATCTCTCTGTTTATAAAAACATCTCTCTCTTTTTGCACATCTACAATTATATGGATACTAGCCAAGTAAAATAGTCAAGTTTCCTTGACTAATTGGTCTGGATTTCAGGGACTTCAAGAGATAAATACACCTCATAAGTATCAAGACAACTGATTAGAATACTACAGCATCATTTAAAATAGCTCAGAGTGTTTCTTAAGTTAAAAGGCAAGAACAAAGTCCCTCAAAAAGTAAAGGAAACCTTTTTATTTTTATTTTAGGAAGGTTTTGTTTGATTCCTCGAAGTAAAAATGCCCCAAATTCCCACACAAGCAAAAACATAGTTAAGCTGCATAGTTCTGTCTTGAGTATGAAAATATCACAGCCCAGTCTTATGTCAGCTTGAAAGATAGTGTCATGCAGAAAATTAAGACCATCTGATGAAATCATGTCATGAAATGTGGCTTGAGAGAGCAGCTTTTTGTGGGTTATGATTTGATATATTTTCACACCAAAACTCAATTGAACAGGCAAGAAGCCTCAATTAATGTAAAATTTGAAGATTTCAGACAAATTTATAAGGTGTTTACTGAGAAAAGGGAGGGGGAACATCCTAAATACTGTCTCTTGATTTTATGTTATGTATCTAAGGAACCAAATGCCTCAGCTTTTCAGTTAGAGTTTTGAATTCAATCTGATGGCAGTTTGGATATAATAAGGATGCATTTATTGTTAATTTCCTTAAAGCCTTACTATCTAACAATGTAGACCATTATCGCCCCAAATACCTTCTGTGTTTGGAGAGATTTCCATATTCCACAGTGCACAGAAGCTGACTCTAAAGCAAGTATTAAGAAGAATATGTGAGAAGCAAGAAGATAGCTATTTCTTTAGTAACTAGCTGGTCTTTCCCCCCCCCCTCCCCCCTCTGCAGACCTGTTTTCAAGAAGATGAGAAGGAGACTTGACAGGACTTTATTGGTTCATAAATTAACTTGGTAGATTTACAATCATTACTTGGAATGCCAGGAACTCTTTTTAGGAACTTATTTTCAAGAGGGAAGAAAACACGTTTAACTCAGAATATGAAATTGACACCTCAAGCTGCCCAGAAAAAGGTGGGTTAGTTTGTTTTTCACCTATGGCCCTGATCCCATCTGCCACCTACACGATTATTTTGGGCCAAAGGGAATGCTTAAACAGATCTTCATGATTATGTTTTCTTCCCAGTATAAGTGAATAAACAAGAAACCATCTAGCTATGTGATCATTGAGACGAAGTCAGTCAAATTTGTTGGCTTCTTTAAGAGACTATAATGAAGTGGAGAAGGTCAAATGAGCACTATGCAAGAGTCAAAAATATCCATTACTTCCTGCTAACCTGCATGTCTAATCCAGGAGTGAAGAAAGATAGGTTAATATCTGTGTGACCTTCTCCTCCCAACTCCCACCCGGAGATGTAAATAAGCCAACTTTTGAAGATAAATGGCCCCATCCAGTGCAGACCTCTGGGCTCAGGGTTCATGAGAGGTATTTTCCTAAGGACATAAGTGAAGGAGATTCTATATTGACAAGGGGTGGGGAGACATTCCTACCCACATCTATTGGATCAAAACTCCCTTGTCTATCTTTTTAAACCCACGCCCAGGGGAGAGCTACATGGAGGTCTCCAGCCCATTCAAAGAATGGATGCAGAAGAACAAATATTTAAATTCAGAGCCCTCCATTCCATGGAAAAACATAGGCTACTAATGACAGCACTGCCCATTTGGCCAAAGCAAATTTGAACCCCACATTTTGCTGTGGTCCAGGCAAGAAAATAAAAAAAAAATCAAGTCAGATGGGGCTAATTATAGGAGGCAGAGAGTGGGTAAAATAGCTCCTTATTCAGAAGCATCCACATATTTTCCTGTGATGAAGAGCAAATATTTTGTTTAAATAGCAAGCAATTTTCTATAAAAGTGCTACTGCTTGGAAATGCTCTTTATGATTTGTTGCTGCCTTTTAACCTGGAAAAAATATTAATAACTGAGGAGCTCTTGTTGGTATCTTTATTATGTTTAAACCCAAATAGCCATAATATTATAACTGGTGTGACCACATTCAATATATTTCTTTCATGAATGCAGCATGGGCTTATTAACAGAGACCAGAAAATAAAAATAGAAGTGATCGTCCAGGCTTTAGCTTTACATGGAGATACCACAGCAGCAAAAAGGCAGCTTAACTTTCAGGGAAAGCTGGGGTGAGGCTGCGCGGAGAATCCCTCCGCATGTTCCCTTTTCTACCAGATAGAGCACTTGCTCTGCCTATGGACTCATGTCTTCCTTCAGCTGTTTCTTCTGGGAAAGTCAGAATTCAGAACAGAATCTCAGTGAAACAGAAACCAATAAATTAGATCTGTTTGTGAGCAATTTGCCGTTAGTTCTATTCTCCTTGCCTGTTAAGATTCTTTATTTACTTCAGCAAGAGATTTCTGCTGACAAGTCCATCCATGTACCACTAGCCTAGATAAAATGATAATAAACAAAATGTCAAAAAATGTATTCATGGGGCTGTCCCCATTCCACACCCTTTATTTTTCCTTTTTCCTTTTTCATCACGTTGGTATTGTATGAACCAGGGGAGCTAAAACATTTAAAACTGACACTTTGGGGAAGGCTTTTAGATTAATTACATTTTATGATGATGTTTATGTATTATATAATTATGATATATATATATATAAGTATATATATTTATATTCTCTATCTATCTCTATCATCTCTGTCTCTATCTCTGTCTCTATCTCTATCTCTATAAAATACCAAACGCTGGGACAGTGAGAAAGAGGGCACATATCTTTCAGCTCCTGCTGCTTATGTTCCTGATCTGATTTGGCTAATATTCATGTCTCCAGGATGGGGAGGTTGGATGGAGGCACACTGGGGAAAGGAAATTTTCCATTTTATACTTATGGATGAGTCCCAGAGGAATCTTTTGTTTCAAAGTATCTTTCTAGTCCTTTGGGTGAAAGGCAAACACTGAGCCCTTCTATCTTGCACATAACTCCCATGGAGACACCTATAATACAAAACAGAGATCCCCCGAGGGCACTGTTATACATTTATTATAAAGCAAAGATTAAAACAATTTTATGGAAATTAAAGATAATATGGAACATTTGTCTCTTTCTCAGTCAAAGAGTAACATGCAGCAGTTCAACAAACAGCTCCAGGCGATTCCACGCGAGATGATCGAATGGCTGGGACTGAGGGGACATGCCGGGCGGCTGCAGACGGTGAGGCGTGGGTTTTTTACCAGGTCGTCTTGCCGGGGCTTGGCAACTGTGCTCAGGTGAAAAATGATATGCCTGCAAAATCAGAACAATGGGCTGGTCCAGGGGTACTTAGGTGGTTTGCCCTCCTGAAATCGATCTTGGCTGGACAGGATGTGAACAGCAGGGTGGGGACCAGGAGGTGCTCTGGAGAGCTTTTTGTTTCCTCTGTTTTGGAGTGTGTGTGTGTGTGTGTGTGTGGCGGGGTGTGGGGGTGGGGGTTTGAGGCTGTCCTGTTACTACTTGATTCACATGTTCACTGGAAGAAAAACGTTCGAAAGATCTGAAAATTTGTAAAAACTTTAAGCTGGTAGCATTTCCATATAATAGAATCCTGTTACCCCCCCGCTCCCCCCCAAAAAAAGCGGTTGTCAGAGGAGGGTAAAACATCTGTGTTAAGCAAGAGATGTACTCTGCTTCATTTGCAGGCAGGGGTCTGAGCTGACCTCTGGCACACTGAATTTATGGTGAAAGGGGGGGCTTTTAAATTGAGTTTGTTTTATTTTGATCCTCTGTCTGGATATTTCTTTCATACCTCCCAGGCAGTCGCTCTCATGGGTAAGCTTATATTTTTGTTAATAAAAAAATGCAATTGGTGCTAATCTAGACTTCCATCATGGTCGTTCAAGCTTTCCAATGTTAATAACCACTCCGAAAGAAAGGATCATCAAAGAGTTGAGACTGCGTGGTTTTGCGGTCAAGGCAGTGAGCCATATTCAGAAATGTCTGCTTTCCTTTCCCTGGTCCACTGCTGCATAACCACGAGACATTTATAAGTTAATTGTTTTCTTTCAGTCCTGTAAAAGGCGACTCTTTACTTATTTAACATGGGTCTAGGGATGGCAATGATTTATGGAGTGAACTAGTTAAGATATTGGGCTTTTGATCTGACTGACCTGGGTAAGAATCTCAACTCATTACTCACTAGCTCGATGACTTAGGATAAGTTAGTAACTATAACTCATTTTACACATATTAGTTATTGTAAAGATTAACTGAGATAATGTATGTAAAGTATGTTGAGACAGTGAGTGGCACATGACGCTTAATAGATATACAGATTTTATAAATAATGATAATAGCTAAATGTACTTAGGCCTTGACACAAATAATTAACGAAAGAGGAAGCATTATCATACAATTATTATTCATAAATAATAACAGCAACATTTGTATACAGATTTTTATGAGCTCTGCACAGCAATGAATTTTAATGCCAGATCACAAGCATCATACTTCACCTTTCATTTAAAAATATATGACTTTTTCATATAGTGGCATAATGTAGTACAGACGCTTGAAACACCTCCAATTTTAATTCCCCTCCTCCCCACTGCCTCCCGCTTTGTGCTCGCTAATGAAAAGTAAAGGTTAGGGGAAATCTGTTTGAGGCTCAAGCTTACTAGACAGACCGGGCCAGCTGATGGCACAGGGCTCAGAGAGTGATGTGAACAGGAAGGGATACGTGGAGACACTTATGAAATACACAGAAGGTGTCTGCAATTTCGTAATAAAATATACGCTAGGAGGAAAGAACTCAGCACCAAAAATAGCAGAAAAAAATATTTTCAAGAGCTTTTCCTTTACTTCCTTTTGCCCATCCAATAGGAACTATTTTGTCCTAAATGGATGGATGTGTTGAGTACAATAAATACAAAAACTCTCTTGTTAGAATTCATTAAAAAAATAAATGTAAAAGAGACCTCCTTATAATCACAAAAAGACATGGAAACCTGGGGTTCCTGGGTAATCACACATATCAAGGAGCATTAAAGGGACAAGGCCTTCATTTTTACCTAATCACATTCACTCCGGAGTGATATTGCATAATTATGGGGTTTTGAATGTTTGGGCAATAAAGGAATCAGAATTTATTTTCAAACACATATTGATGTACAGCCAAGCAATATAGTTGTTTCTTATCTCTTAATGAGGTTAAGACTTATGCCTTTAAAGGGATCACAAATAAATTCTTGGGTGTATTTTGCCTTTTAAATATTTTGAATATATGAATTCATCAGGATTTGGGGATTAGGTAACTGCTGTCTACACAAAAAATCTGCAAAATTTTTCATTACTTTTTTATTAGTTGGCAGCAAATACTCTAACTGTGAACTTTTATGAAGCTATAACCATAAAGGACCTTCTGATACTGGTATGATGATAATTCTAAATTTCCTCTTTGCAGCTGTGGTTGATCCCTTCTATTTGGTACAATCTATTTTTTGTGTGTGACTTAACAGAAGAAAGTTGGCTCACTACTGTATTGCCTTCAAGCACTTTCTCGGGAAGTTCTTGAATTAAATCCGCATGGAAACCCAATTCCCCTCTCCACCTTTCCCTTAAGGTGGTTATAAAATGTCAGTAGAAAGCAAAGCTGTTTATTTTACTTAGCATTGGATTCTGTTAGTAAATGAGTTTCTGGTGGGGCTTATGTCTAAACCACATCTTTCAATCAGATTCTTTACATTACTAAATGAGTATTAAATCGTGCCATAAATATTAATTTCAAATTCCGAAGTTCAGATTTCACCTAAATCCAAGGGAATAAGCAGAGAGGCCAACAGTTTAACAAGTTCTAGATTCATCTTCTAGGTTCCCTTGCAAAGCATTGCTTTTCTTGGGTGTGTAGTGGGTCAGAAAGACAACTGTGTTGCCTTCCCCACAGGCAGCTTTTCTGCCTGGCAGGGGTCTGTGGGCCACTTTAACACTACAGCTTGGAGATTTCTGCAAACAGTGTGGGCATCCTGGCAGGATGAACGGCTCTTTGAGAATCCATGAGATGCTATACGCTCAGACAGGCCCTGGCTACTGCTTCAGGGGTTGGGACAGTTTTAAAATATGCTGGAACAAGACAGAGAAAGAGGATCCTGGGGTGTGGATTAATCTGAGGTAATACGGTTTCTCTGGGCTGGGCTTTAGGGGTGTCTCTTATGAGACCATGCTGTGTTTCCATTTCCAGGGTCTAATGAGCAAGAGGTACTCAGTGGACCCTCAATCTCTCCATCCAGCTCTTTCCAACTCCACTCATTGGAGCATCGCACAAAGCACAACAGATAGCAGGCTGCTGCTAATAGTGCGCGTGTAGATAAGACATGAAGGCAAAGACTTCTGTTGCATTTTTTTCCCTGTAATTTGGCTTAACCCTGGAGATATTTTCTCTTTTCTCTTAGTAAAGCCAATGTGCTTTAAAGAGATGGGCAATGACATCAGCAGAATTTGCAAGATGGATGACAGAAACATCTACTTGCTTTCCCCCCGCCCCCCCGCCATAAACCTGAGCCTGTTCTTTCCACATAAAGTTGTCTACCATTTGTTTCAGGGCTTTGAGGAATCAATGTACACCTCCTTTCATTAAAGAGAGACAGGCTACCCTTTGGTACCTGTTTTTCTGTGCTGCTTAAGTTTTAAAATTCTTGAGGCCAAAATATGGTATTCAGTGGTTCTCCATCTTTTCTTTTGGGAAAATCCACTTCATTTTGTTACAAAATCTCATGATCCTCCATATCTGTGCTTTAAAATCTGTATTATCAGTAATATTCCCCACTCTGGACATTTAAAAATAATAAATGAATCTGTATGAAAGATAATGCTATTTGACATAATCCTTGGTTTTAGCTTCACTCACCTCCAGCATTAACTCCTCCATTTCCCAGGAGCCTAGAGCCCACATATTGGCAACCACCAAACACCCTGACTGGAGGTGGCTGCTGGGAGGCATTTGATATGGTTTTAAGTGCAACAATATTAACTGAATGGATCTTTTGGTATTGTTGGGAATCTACCTGTTAGCACCATCCTATCCCTTTAGTGCAGCGGTTCTCAATTTATGGGTCGCGAACCCTTTGGGGGTCGAACTACCCTTTCACAGGGGTCGCCTAAGACCACTGGAAAACACCTATTTTCGATGGTCTAAGGAACCGAGACACCGCTTCTCTATCCCTCTCCAGGCGGGTCTGCCTACATGCAGATACACCCACATATGAGTACCTGGCGTGATGACATCAGCGCACAAACCCCATCACATGTACTCGGTACAAATACAGGTGTATGTGACAGAGTTGGCGCCATAATGTACTTATGCGGACCAATCACACATGTGTAGAGAGCAGCTACTGTGTAGAAAGCAGCTGCTGTGTTGAAAGCAGGATTATTGGAGGTAAAATGACACTTCATGAATTATAATTACTGGGTAAATGTAAAATCATGTACTGTAAAAATCATCAACTACTGCAAAAAAAATATCTGTATCATGAGAACTTAATCTGGATGCTGATCTTTCTTTTTATATTCAGCTGTGGTTGATCTGAATACCGCCCCCTTGTGATAGTAACAGGTATGTAAAAAAAACAACACAGAGAATGGTAAATCATAGGAAACTTTAATGAACTGTATTGACTGAACTATGCCATGTATCATCTTTTGTATTATTAAAGCTATTGTTATGTATTATTTTCATTAGCAAACCATCCCATGACAATGGATCATGTAGAGAAGAACGGTAAGAAAATCTG